CCGTAGGTGGTAACCGAGAGCGCGAGAACACTGATTTTGAATGGGCAAGGTTGAGGGTGAGCGGGGAGTCACTGCCTTAAAACTTCAGCCTCCTAGATTCCGAGGTTCCCGAGATATTAACTTACCCGTGACTTACCCGTGAAAAGGGGGTCATTGCCGTAAAACTTCAGCCTCCTAGACTCCGAAGTTCCCGAGATATTAACTTACCCGTGACTTACCCGTGAAAAACTTTCACGGGGTGGGCCATTGCCCTAAAACATCAGCCTTCTAGGCTCCGAGGTTCCCGAGATATTAACTTACCCGTGACTTACCCGTGAAAAACTTTCACGGGGCCGTATGTGTTACCCGCGGGTAAGGGATGGCTGGTTTTGAATGGGCAAGGTTGAGCATGGGCAGTGGGTCATTACCCTAAAATTTCAGCCTCCTCAAGGGAAGGCTGAATTTGAATGGGCAAGATTGAGGGTGGGCAGGGGGTCATTACCCTAAAACTTCAGCCTCCTAGACTCAGGCTGAATTCGAATGGGCAAGGTTGAGGGTGGGCAGGGGGTCATTATCCTAAAACTTCAGCCTCCTAGACTCCGTGATTCCCGAGATATTAACTTACCCGTAAAAAACTTTCACAGGGCCGTACGCGTTACCCGCGGATACGGGGAAGCTGAATTTAAATTTGCGGGGTCACACGTGGGTGGGGAACGCCCCTTAAATTTTCAGCTTCATAGCTTTTGTGGTTCCCGAGTTGAAAGTTGCGGACAAGTTGCTGCGGGAAACGTTACCCTAAATTTCCAGCTTCCTAGCTTTTGTGGTTCCCGAGTTGAAAGTTGCGGACAAGTTGCTGCGGACACAAGACAACCTCGTAATAATATGCGTTTTGTATTGCTGTTACACAGCATTAATGTTCTCATGCAATTCTGTTAAGCCGTATACTCTGGGTCAGTGTGCGGTGAATTAAGCTTCGCATTTGTACTTTTATTACATTGCACGCTTAAAGAGAGGCTCACGCAGTTCCAGTTGCAAAATGTTCGAGCTTCAGGAATGCTTGCGGAAAAGGATCTGTTGACAGAGCAGATGAAAGCACTGAACGAGGACTTGTTGTCTGCGAAGAAAGTTCTGGATGAGGAAATTGCTCAGGAAAAGCAGAGGTAATTTTAACCACCATTTAATAAAAATAATATAAGTTACTCCATTCTCCCTTCCACAATCATAGCGATTCCCTTTCTTTTCCTCCTTTCTCTTCCTTCTCCATTAAGCACTGCGACCGTCATATTGACGAGGTCCTGTCGCGGTGTTGAGTTGACGGGCCGAAACGTCTTATCTCATTCTTTTTCTCATGCCGTTTTTTCTTCCTGTATTCTGTCGCGCTTTCGCCACTTAGGCTTCCTGGGTCAACCTGGTTGCTACAATCCGCTTAGCATAAATCTTTATACAGGTCAGCTAGTTTGATTCGTGAACTGGATGAAGCTGTTAAAAAGCTCAGTGAATATGAAGCGTGCATTCGTGATAAGGACGATGAAATTTTGCTGCTGAATACTTCCCTGGCTTTGGCGAAAAGAGCATCAGTTCAGGAAAAGGGGACGCAGACGGACAATCCTGAGGTATCCATTTGTTTCCATTACACTCGTACTGAATTTAACAATGTGAGAAACTTGATTACTCGAGGAGTGAACACTCCAAGTGGATATAGCTTATAAACGTATTGGTAAGGCGGTTTATTGCCGGAATGGCTCGCGGCTGTTATAATTAAATAAAAACTGAACTGCTTTGCCAGCTCGAGAAACAGTTGCACAACGAAGAATACCAGTAAGAAAATATCGGATTTAATTCACACCACTTGTGAATTGCTTGATTAGCTTTGGCGAGCCGTATTTCCTGGTTTCATTGCTCTCCAGCTCCTGGGAAACTTCTGAAGAATTTTAAAGACTTTAAACCATGCACACATACTTATAGGAACGAACATCATCTGTGCAAAACTTTGAAGCTGTCAAAGCGGCGCTGGAGGCAAAGATAAAAGAGGGCGATGAGGAACGGAAAAAAAGGGATGAAGAAATGAAAGTTGCGCTGAAAAAGCAGGTTGACATGAATTTTTGCATTTTTTTTTTTTCCGAATTATTCTGGGATTGTTGAACGTTTGTCACATGAGTTTTTTGCATAGTCTTCGATGGTGAAGGAGTTGCGGCATCAGGTGCAGTCGGAGAAAAAACGCGCCGAACAGGCAGAAAAACATCTGGAAGAAGTTCTAGGAGTGAATGATGCGTATCCACAGAGTACGTTTCGCTTATCAAATTTGTCTACTGAACAGGAAGGTCAATTTCTCCACCGGCGCCAGCAACGTATTGGAAACTGTGGAACTAGTTGCGCATTGATGCTTCAAATTGTGAAGCTGGAGATTTGTTAGTGACGTTATTCCTGGACATTTCTGTGGTTGGACTAGAGTCAAATATGCGCCACATATAGCTTGGTTACGATACCTTGGTTACATATTAAATATTGCGGCACATGATGTAATCCGACTGTGGCTTCCAGGTTCAACTTGAAAGCCTAAGTGGCGAAGGCGCAGTAGAATGCAGAAATAAATGGCCAACGCACGGTCGGCCCGTGCGAAGATGCGTTTTTTGCAGAGTTCCCCGCAGTTTTTGTAGCTACCGGCATCAGTTTTTTCGGCAGATGCTTCTGTCTGAAAGAGTTTCAGACTTGCCGCCAGGACTGTCAGGAAACATCCCCTCAAATTCCAGTCTTCTAGTTCCTCACGTTCTCGAGTAAGTAACTTACCCGGAAGGAACTTTTCACAGGCCTGCACGTAGGTATCACGCTTACCCGCGGGCAGGGTTTGAGCTCATTAATACCCACTTAGACAGGGAACACTCCCCTAAGATTTCAGCTCTCTAGCTTCTCAGAACC